CGTTGCATGACAGTATAGTAGCCCTCAAAAAAATTGAAATTATTTTCTCCAATATCTGAGGAGGTGCAATTTATGTTTTTGGGATTGCTGAATCCCAATCCGGGGTCCGTTTAACCCCATGACGTCAGGGTCAAGGGCATCTGAAGGTCAAATTGCGGAATGACTATTAAAAATCTGGAAAAAATTGTATTATTATATATGTATTTGGGGTTATATATGTATTGGGGTTCTCTTGACCTTGAAGTATCAGAATCAAGGTCAAATAAAAGTCAAAACCCTAAAATTAGATGATATGAGCATTTTGACCCTGGATTCTTGAAGAGCAGAATTTTACGTCCGAATATGTATTGACTCTTTTTTTAGAACAGACCTTTGTAGGTCACGTGATGGCCATCCAAAATCAAATCCATTTTCCGGTTTTTGGCTGTAAATTGAGATCTTGGGTCTTTGATGAGTTGATATTTTTCGGGTCGTTGATCACGATTCTGGTATTCATTTGAGCCAATCACGTCGTAATATAACGATATAATATTTTCTTACTCCGGATTCTGAAAGAGCGAAAAATTTCATCCATGTGTTTGCATCCAGGGCTCCTCCCCGTGGTAACGGCGGGTAACGGAATTGTCCCGCTATCCGGCTAAGTCCCTGGAACAGGACGCGTATGCCGTCATGACAAACACAACGGAAAAATTAACGATGCAGGGGGATGGAACCCCAGTAGCGGCGGCTGGTCAAGGTGGGAAAGCGGGCCCGCAGGCGTCGGCATCCAGTGACCGCAGCTCTGTTGAGGTGGATACCTTGGCCTCACCAAAATATAAAACTACAAGTAGTAGAACCCATAGACATGAGCATGACAACCCAAAAATCCCATATCATTTCTGTTATGTTTGTGGTTACACCATAACATGGCCGGAAAAATATTACTCATTTTGTTAATACTGCATACAAGTATTGTTTCTCACTTAACATAATTGGGTTCCACATATCGTTTGTCTGAATTGTCATAAGATGTTGATTACATGTTACAACAATAAAGATCTTTCAAATTTGAAATACTCTGCACCTGTAAAATGGACTATGCCGGAATCAAAATAAGACTGTTTCTTTTGTAGGACAATTACTCATGGATTCAATGGGAAATGAACATCAAAAATCAAGTATATTTATACAGATAAATTGGTTCCACCTGTTTGGATTTTGAAGCATAGGTGTAAGTTCAAGGATACCATAAAAAAGGTAAATACGTATTGGGATGTAAAATTTTCTGTTCTTTCGGAATCCGGAGTCAAAAATATCATATCATCAAATTTTATGGTTTTGATCGTCATTTGACCATGATTCTGACACTTCAAGGTCAAGAGGACCACAGATTCAGATTTAGCAACCCCGAAGACATATATATAGATTCTTCCAGATTTTTTAATAGTCGTTCCGTAATTTGACTTTCAGATGTCCTTAACCCTGACATGATGGGGTTAAACGGATCCCGGATTCGGATTCAGCAACCCCAAAAACATAAAGTGCACCTCCTAGATATCGGGGAAAATAATTTCAATTTTTTTGTGGGGTTTGTTATGGTTGCTGTGGTATGCACAAATTGGTTGGCTCGACCGGGGTAGGACCACACTCTCACATAATACCAGCGTAAAATAGCAACTTGATGCTGCTGTTTCGTATGATGAGTGTAGAGAACCTGTTACCTGTTTTACTGGAGACGAGGCGTTCTATCTCAGTCCTTAGGGGTGACAACGCGTCTGTGTTTTGATACTTAATTGCAGATAAAAGTAGATGTCTATGGGCCACAGCATCCACTTACCATTACCATCAGGTGAACTGTGTGGTCGTTTGTTACCCTTATTCTATAAAAAATAGTTTATATTTATATAAAAAAAAGTTTCCAGATAGCACCGGATAGTGGTAACCAAGTCACATATAACTAATTCTATAATCTAATAACTCTATACTATGTATAAAACAAAGAATACTATTATTGGGATTTCGTAGTTAAACAACAAAGAACCTTTATAGTTTCAACATGTCATGGACGAATGGTCGGACGTCCATCCGTCCGCGGTTTTACTCAGTGACCTGCAGTTTTTGGAAATTTGAAAAGCATGCGTGATATAGTATATAGTATATATTATGAAGTTAAAAGAAAAACTATCATAGCTAAGTAGGCTTTACAAGTTAACAAGTAACAGTCGACCAACTTATAAAATGTAAGTGCATTTTGCAAGAAAATGAACTTAAACTAGCTGCGTTATAACTTTGTAATGTTATCGTAAACTGTAAAATTTTTTTTGGAGAAAACGACTTTACGTTTTCCTTTGCGGGGTAGACAGAGAGGATCGATCGCCAATAGACCGATCCTTATATGCAATAAATATTTCACTTATTTTTTTAATTAGTAGTTATTGCAGGCCTACAGTTTTATACGTGGTACTCTTAGTTTACGAGGGTGACCCTTAGGATAGTTTAATAATATATTTAATATAATTTAATTTATAGGATCCCAAGCAGATGGTAGCACCCAGTCATCTTTTCTATTGAAATTAGGATGTTTTTTGATTTCAATAGCCTCGCGAATCCTCCTTGGAAGGAATCGTTGTGCTTTAGCGAGGATTTGTGGTCTATCAAATATGATGTTCTGTATGTGTTCACAGACTGCACATTTCCCGGAGCGTAGATTCTTCACATCATCTGTGTGTTCTTTAACGCGGGTTTTTATTGGTCTTTTAGTTTGTCCTATGTAAGAGAGACCAAATCAAGATCGCACACTCCTGCATCTTGCAGAAGTACATTACACTGATGGTAAAAACTGACTACGAAATGGACCCGAAGCTTATTGTCGTGCAAAACTTGATTGAAGGTGTTTACTGTCACAGATCCCTCATGCTCTCTGAAACAAATATTTACCCACGGTAGCTAACTGTAAATGATGGTGGTGAGAATCAACGTTTAAATATTTATCTGTATGGGTCTTTTTTCTATACAAAGTGTGGCTCAAGGTGATATTAGGAGTCCCAATTACTAACACATTTAGAAAACCTAAAGAATGTTTTGCCTCTTACTCCATTGTGAACGGAATATTAGAATTTATTAAGTTAAGATGGTCTAAAAATGCAGTTACTTTATCTAAATGTAGAATTGTAATGATGTCATATACTTGCCGCTTGAAGAATCTTGAATTTAAGGGAGAAATAAGCAGAGCTTTCTCCACAATGTCTTCCATGAATATGTCGGCGACAATGGGAGATACAGGTGAGCCCATCGCCACAACACCTACTTGCTTGTAGAACTCTTCCTTCCACAATACGTAGCTAGATGTAAGGCAGAGTCTGAGTAATACTGCATATTCTACGGGCATGTTTGTTTCCTTCCAGCCTTCTAGTTACAATTGAGACGAGATGAGTGAGAGTCTTCAACAGGTAGGTAGTGAACAGCGACTGCACATCAAAACTGACTATTAGTTTCATTATCTGCCAGATATAGGTCATTATTCTCGATGACGAAATAGTAGGAATCCTTCGTGTGTGCTCTTGTATGTCCCATGAGCGGTGAGAGTACGAAGAGTTTTTCGCTACGACACACAGCATACTAGCAAGAAAAAAAGTTAAAGGCCATGTCAATTAGATCATGAAAAGGGTAAAGGTAAAACGAGAGGGACGAAGCGTTGACTTTATTGGACGTGACGTCTCCAGCTTAACTTTAAGGTACAGTGTGCCTCTGTTGTCCAGATACATATAGATCAAGCTAATATAAACAATTAATAATACATAAACAATAAACAGCTAATATGAAAATGGTAACAGTTTTATAAGAATATAATTTTAAAAACAATGATTGGAATTGTCATTAAATATTATATTTAAAGGACTTTATAGTTAACTTCCCGTATTTTTAATATAGTAAAATAATTAAAAAAAAACTTTCCGGTATTGTTATTACAAAGAAAAGTATAGGTACCTACTTGTTGATATTCTAACATGTTTATTCTATTCTCGTTTGCGTTGTTATTCGTGGAAAATTTAAGAAATCTTATTCGTTGGGTAATTGCTATTTATAGATAGCTATTTTTTTCTCTACCGACAACATTACGTATCCATCCATCCATCCATCCATTATAGCCTATATAGTCCAGTGCTGAACAAAGCCCCCCCCCCCCCCCCATAGATTGTCACATAATGGGGATTTTGCCATAGTTGGCACGTTTGGCAGGCGAGTCGGCAACCGCAGTTTTTTATAATTTTGAGTTACTATCAGGAAAATGCTGCTGCCCCTCTCCTGTTTCAGTTTCCCTCAAATGTTTTTTCGACACCTACGTGATGATATGGGGTTGTGACCCACCGACAACATTACATAATATGCATGACATTAATACAAAATATAATAATTAAGAAATTCTGCTTTCATGTTTAATAATTTTGCAGGCACATTGAAATTTTCAATAAATTTACTGATCTTGCATCGAGAATAGCATTTTGGTCAGTACTGGTGAGTGCGTTGCTCCACACTGATAGTGATAACTCTATTATTATCAGTCTCGTCTCTTGAACCGCGTGCCGCTAACCAATAGCTATGAACTGAGATTAGAGTATGCATATTGCGTCCTGTTTTCAGAAAGTAAAAACGAACATTTTCTCCATTTCTTTTAGACATTAAAATATATGAGTATCTTATAACAATCATTTTATAATATGATTTACGATAATAAAGTTGTAATATGATTTACGGTAATAAAGTTTATTTATAAGAAAAATTAAATACTATAACAAAATATTATTAAATTGAAATAATTTATAATAACATATTATTAGTAGTATAAGTATTTAATAGTATAGTTATTTAATTAGTTTATTAGTAATTAAATAACTAGAGTGCTAGATAAAGTCGGCATGTGATGTTTCTAACGACCAAAGCAGTAAATGTGTGTAAATAAAGCAAATGAGAGATAGAAATAAATAAATTCACATTTTTTCCAGATAACCGCTATTCAACCTAGTGTTGTCACGACGCCGTTATAGAAACAACGTGCGATACGCGTATTTGAGTGCTTGTTTGTGCGCCGTTTTGTAATGATGGCTCTCTAAATTATTCATATCATCATTGACTCTTCTCAGTTCACTAAATAATATTTGCACAGGTGATTTAAATTCGGAACAAAAGCCGTAAGTTATCGTCATTGTTTTTATTTAAAATTATTGCTTTAGATGATTTAATACGTGCGTCTTTAATTCAACCACAGATTTTTTATGGTGTCAATTAAAAATATCCTTCCGTTCATGGTCACGAGAAGGAAGATAACCTTGGCTGTTCACATATTGATTGTAATAATATAATATTTGCTTCTTTTGTAGGTGTCATGAGTCTCGGTACTTGCGCTCTTTTTTAAATTTAGAATTGAATATAAATTCACGCCGCGGGTTTCGGATTGTTAACCTGCATATCGTTATGTTTCTACACCTATTTAACTTCTGAACGTTCTTGAATTTGTTCGTATGTTAAACTATTATATATGTTTTGGTAACATAGTGATTACATTATCTGCGTGGCGTACGGTAGCAAGTAATGTAAGCATTAAATCAAACATAGTTTTCTAAAATTTAATTTTGTAATACTCGTAATGATGAAAATTTTCTACGTGGTAGAGCCATGCTGCAGCTATATTAAGGTTGTAGCACGAATGGGTCGGCTCGACCGGGGAAGGACCACGCTCTCACAGAAAACCAGCGTAAAAGAGCAGCTTAACGCTGCTGTGTTTCGTATGGTGAGTGTAGAGAACCGGAGACCTTTTTACTGGCAAAAAGGCATTCCATCTTCGTCCTCACGGGTGACAACGCATCTGCATCTTGAGTCTTTATTGAGGATAGATGTAGATGTCTATGGGTCACAGTAACCACTTACCATCAGGTGGACTGTGTGCTCGTTTGTCACCCGATCACATAAAAAAAAAAATTAGACTTGCAACGGATAGTATATTCGTCCATACGCCAAATGCCGAATATTCTGCGGGCTCCCTGGCCGAATAGCCGAATATTAGGCAAAAGCTAGGATTGTTTATGCGAAGAAAAAGAGTAAACTACTGCCTGAAAATGTAGAAAAAAATAGTCTTTCTGCACCATAATCTTCCACTTTAAAAATTTAATTGCGATAATTCAAGTACATACACATTTATTTGATAATTTTTTGTGTGTTTTTATAATACGGAAGTTGATTAATTACCTACTACTACTTTAATGATAACAAGAATTGAATTATAGTACTAACATTTAGATTATTTTTAGTTTAGGACCATGGTAGCTAGGAGGCAAAGCGCTCTCGGTGAATACATTTTACACACGCAACCCGGGTTCGATTCCGCCGGTACCAACGAAGTAGTTCTACCGGCGGGATCGAACTACTAAATATGTTAAATTTGTCAAGATGCACTGGAGCAGTACGGAGAACTAATTGTTCGACAACTGCTCAATAATGAGAGGAGACCTGTGCGGAACATTGGGACGTATATAGGATGTAATTTTCTTTAGACTTTCATTATTAATTATTAATTTTATACGTGGTAGAGCCACGATGCAGCTATATTAGAAGTATAGGTGCAGCACGAATGGGTCGCCTCGACCGGGGAAGGACCACGCTCTCACAGAATACCATCGCAAAATAGCAGCTTAACGCTGCTGTGTTTCGTATGGTGCGTGTAGAGAATCGGAGATCCTTTTTACTGGAAAAGAGGCATTCTACTTAGTCCTCACGGGTGACAACGCAGTTTGATTCTTTATTGAGGATAGATGTAGATGTCTATGGGTCACAGCAACCACTTACCTTTAGGCCCTTAGGGCCTTTGTCACCCTATCCTATAAAAAAAAATTATGTAGTATACTGATTTCTGGTAGTCCTTAATCTATACCTACATATAAATAAAATTCAAGTGTCTGTCTGTAATATCCAAATAAGTCCTTTTTATTGACCTCAGTGGGTTATTTGCATGCCATGCCATGTTATTTACGTGAGTAACCATTTTTTTTACGTTTGTCTGTCTGTCTATCTGTTAGGGCTAATCTTCGAAAAGACTGAACCGGTTGTAATGAAACTTCACAAACAGATAAAGAAATGCCATCAATGCAGCAATGCCAGCAAGGCAGCAATGCCGTTACGCTTATTTGTCACCTGCAGCCTAAGGTCTGAATAGAAAGTATCCACGGCGCGTCTGGCGTAGCGGTGTGTGTTTTTCATATCGTCATAATGCCGCGTCCATATCCGCGTCTCGGCGAACTCTTTCCACTGAGGTCTTAACTATATACATAAATATACTTTGTGATTTAGCCCTATTCGTGTAAAAAACATCAATGGCTATGCTTCTTTAATGTTCACTCAGTCGTTAAATTTAAAAGTTTGCCCGAAGGTGAGCGTTAAATCGTTCGAACCATAAACTGTCTCTCCGTATAGACGACGCATAATTAAACCTGGTGAAAAACAAAAGTGGTAGATGTTAACAATATAATAAAACAATTTTCAACCCTGTTATCAAAATATGCCGTGATTACGAAATTATGCGTAGTCTAGATATATTTGATAGTAGCCTTGTTACATTTAAAAGAAAGGAGAAGGAGACGTCTCCATATATTCCTGGGCCCAAGTTTTAACACGATGAAAGTAGGATCATTTGGAAGCGTATATATAAACAAATCATAGCTGAAAATCTAACAAGATTTGTCAATCTAGGAGCTGAGTTATTGTAGGATAAGTAAAAGTGAGATTATCTATTATCTACACTGTAACAAGTGATTTTTCACTGTTATTACACTGTAACAGGCTATTTTTCATTATAATTACTTAAATATATAAAAGCAGGATTTGAAGAAAATCACCAAAATAGCTGTGGTTAATAATGAAACGAAATGGTGAAACGATTAACGAAAGTTAAAATAACAACAACTAAGTGAAGTAAATATTAGAGATATCGATCTGAGATCGATTACTTGAATTGTTGTTGTAATTCTGTTACTTGTTGGAATTTTGATATTTTGTAGATTAATATTAATTATGCGCAATATTTTTATCTCCCACTATACACAATAAAATGCTCAATTTAATCGAGACTTGATTATATTGCGCTCGTTTCAAATCGAATCGAAGATCTGTCTTTTTCTTCTAAGCAATTTTTAAGTAAATAGTTTGAAGTTTGAACTGTCAAGTCAAGTTTCAAAATGAGAAGTCCTGTATTGGAAGATAACGTTCAGAAACGAGAATTTTACTAGTGTATTCTTTAAGGTAATCGATTTATTGCCATAAATAATACAATACAATCGATTTTCTAACTTATTTCTTATTTTATTGTTTTTCGAAATCTAGATTGTAAAAAGAGCTACTTTTTTGTATTTTACTTAAGAATAATATGACCAATTTTTTAAAGCTTATACAAATTAGTTAACTTCAGGCCCAGAAATCCCATTCTCCTTTACGTGTTTCCCTTAATTTTTAATGTAGTTTTCTATCTTCTTTATTTTTGTTATTCTACTGGAGTTATATTGTTATGCTGTGTACAATTTTTGGGATTGTAGTTTAGACCAACACCATCATACTTTTAAATTTAAAACTGTATATAACTACTGTCTGTTTGTGTACCTTATTCAATAAATTTAAAAAAAAATAAAAGATATGGTTTCGATTTACCGCGACTCATGCTGATTGCCAGGCAAACTCAACCAAACACAGTGTCACCCTATACGGGTACTTAGGACATCGAATGTTGGAGAGTTCGTTGGACGATTAGGCGATCCACTTAGTCCTGTATCAAACATCACTTACTGATTGGTGATTGCAGTAATTCGGTAATTTGCACCTTAGACGCTGTGACCTCCTACCGAATGTGGTACTTACCTATAATTCAGCATTCTTCATATACCTACATAGTAAGTATACGTAATGCTATAGTTATATAATACGTGGTAGAGCCATGTTGCAGCTATATTAGTAGTATAGTTCTAGCACGGTCGGCTCGACCGGGGAAGGACCACGCTCTCACGGAATACTGGCGTAAAATTGCAGCTTAACACTGCTGTGTTTCGTATGGTGAGTGTATAGAACCCTTTTTACTAGAAAAGAGGCATTCCATCTTAGTCCTCACGGGTGACAATGAAATTTTGCTAATTATCAGGTGCGCTGTGTGCTCGTTTGTCACTGAATATATAGCAGGTGTAATGCTACCGAACAACAGCATTTTAAATCAATATACTTTTTCTAATATTGTTTGACTTTGATTAGAACGTATTTATATTTTATAGTAAACATATTATTTTTATTAAACATAAAGTAAAGTAAAGTTACAGCCTATATACGTCCCACTATTTGGCACAGGGCTCTATTCACTTCTGAGAGGGTTTTAGGGCAATGAAGTGTCTGCCGCGCTGCCCCAATGCGTGTTGGCGGACTTCAAATATCTTCGAAATATTTTTTATTATTTTATTTCCAGATTCTGATTTTGAGATTCAGGTTTTCTCAAGATGTTATCCTTCATCGCTGAGCTCGTTGAAAATCTGCACTTAAAATTGAAATTAACAATTTCACTGGTGCCGGTGGGGTTCAAACCTGCGCTGCTCGCGTACTGTAAAATTTACAGCGAGCGCTAAGCCCCTGATGACTTGAGGTGTGGTAGACCTCACACGTACATTTTAATCATGTAGTCTAGTTAAAAAGATTGAATACATGCTAATCCGTCTCGTTATCGGCTAAAGATGATCAAAAATAGATCCAGATACGAAAATCACTAATTTGCTTGTTTCAAAATGGTAATAATTGTGTTTGTGAACTCGAACTCAAAGACACGAAGCGTGGTCTGCATATTCTGAAAAAATAGTTACATAATTTACAATTTGATAATAATAGAAAAATGCACTTCATATTTGTTTTATTGATTCCCGATTGGTCAGTCGGAAATACATTCGTTCCTCGTATGAGTGGGCTAGATCCCAAGCACGTACTGAATTTGGAATGCATCAAAACTCATCTCATATGTCGAATAACCCGCAGTGGAGCAACGTGATAGGAGTAGGGCCGTGTCGTTTCGAGAGTCCGTCTAAGCTCTCAAGTGGGACCTGAGTAGTTTTCGATGTTTCGATGAATTCACTTTATTTTTAGTTGTACAAAATATTAGGTAAGGATGCTTTGTAGT